CGTGCTGACTTTGGGAACCCAATGTCAGTGACAATGTGACAATGACTCTCCATTGTAAAGCAGGGGAGATGGCAAAAGGATGCAAAAGGCTGAAAGTTCAAGAAGTCAAGGCTTGCTTTTCTCAATGCGTTAATGGAGCCACGTGTCCTTTTCTTGCCAGCTAGGCCTGGGCGATCTACATGGGCGCAGAACATGGTGGGAGAGGGAGCCGAGCAGCTGTGGAGTTTCGGGCGGTCTCGAGAGCTTGCGTTTCACACCGTCGAGCCATCAGCTGCGGACTGGTTTCTTTCCAAGAGGGTCTTCCAACTTTTCGATTGGTCTATCAACCCTAGACCATGAGTCTATCTTATCTCTTTCACTTAACTCTTCCAATACACTTGCTAGTTCAATGGTCTTTCCAAGAGGGTCTTCCAAATTTTCCATAGGGTCTATCTTAAAATCTTCCAATTCTAAAGGGACTCTCCCGAGCACGATGTCCAGGCGACGATGCGTGCCCTCGAGATCTGGATGGGCTACTCACCTGGCTGGGGAACTACAGCGAAAAGCAGTCGTTGGGAACGCAAGACCAACAAACTATCGCCTTGTATAAGCTTTTTGATGTTTTGTTGCGACTGACCATTCTATGTTCTTCACCGGTGGAAAAAAAATCACACACACAAGTATGGTCGAAATGGACTTCCGAATCAGTGAGTCCATCCCAGTCTTTCCCATTTCAGGACCAAACTGTGGCGACCCATGTCAGTTGAGGTTTCGTTGGTCATTGGATGATCAACATCGAGCTAAGAAACAATAACAAACAACTCTTTCGAGAGGTCTGAAAATGTTCTATTCACGAAAGCTAGCACCAGCTAGCTGGAGTTGTCCTTGCTTTAGCAAGTGAGGGGCTGGAATCCTCGAGATCGCCGCATCACGTGAAAACTTCATATTAGAGCCACGGTCAAAACATGCGAAGACCACTTTAGTAAAGAGGGGTAGGTTTGTGGACAAAACCCTGCAAAACGATAAGGTCCACCTCAAAACCGATAACCCCAGCGCTGTATATGGTCATAAGTATGCGACGAACTCAAAACGCTGTAAAACGATAAGGTCCACCTCAAAACCGATGACGTCCATTTTTTAGCTGAAGAAGAATAAGGAGTTTTGACCGTCCCTCGTATGTAGAGGTCCCCCCCCCCGCGGGTTCAACTCCCCCCTGGGACGCCTCTGGGAGACCTCTTGGACACCTCTTATGGCATCCAATTCGGTTCAACTCCTCCGTGGAGGTTTTGGGATACGATGCAACAGATTCAACAGATTCACAAGCTAAGCAGCTAAGGTTGGCTGTGTCATTGCTGTTCGTGTGTCTTACATGTTCACAACGTTTTACCTCATGAGCGAGACCTTGTGAACCATCCCTCCAACAGCCCATGCCTATGAAAAAGGATTTGCTTCACTCCGCTTGATGTCCCACCAGTCCTTTGTCACTGGACGGCGCTGTATGCTTCGCCTTCACTGACACGGATGCATCCCTGCTAGCTTTCGTCACCTACCTCGGCCTCAAGTTGTTTTCTTCTGCAGTTTCTGCGACCGCGGAGACCGCTCCATGAGGTTTGGCATCGTGGGCCTCGCGTTCCTCTTCGTGGGTTGTGGGGCCCTGGGTGGGTGGAGAAGCGACGGAGTCTCGGTGTGTTTGAAGAAAAAGGAGCCAAAGAGCCCAGACTCGGGTTGAAGGGAACATCGTGTCAAGCCGTTTGTGTTTTTGTTCCCTCTCTAGGTGCTGATGCGAATGCGGATCACAGCTCTTGGCCGCTTGTCCGATGCGGTGTCATAATTTCCCCAGGGATGGGTGGGCCGAAAGCCTCATGCAAAAGAAGTACTTGTGGCTTTCGAAGTCCTTGAGAAGCACAGTGCCTGACAGAGGGCATTTCCTCTTGCGTCGAAACATGGTTTTTGCATCGAAACGCCCACTGGCATCGATCAACCACGTTTCTTCTTGGGCTGGAATGCATCGTACGCTGTGTCGATTGAAGACAAGCGCATCGCTGATACGGCCTGCATCAGATCTTGTCAGGGGAACTTGAACGGCCTGCATCAGTTGTGGCCCTTTGTGTGTTCAGCAAACTGGGAAGAAACTAAGAAACACTGATTCAGATGACGGGAACCCCGTCCAACGGTGGTCTCGCGATGGGCGAGAGATTTTTTTTTGCTTTTTTGTCCACTTTCCGGAGGATCGGAAGACGATCGGTTTCCGTCTTTCTTTGAGGATTGGTCTTTTACTGCGAACCATTCTGCTTCTTCTTCCCTGGGTGCCCTGCTCAGACTTCTCCTGCGAACGGGATTGGGATCCAACGTTGTTGATCGAGCGATAAGCTGGAGTACTGCAAGAGAGAGAGAGAGAGAGAGCACGTTGAAGATTTCCTGCAAGACTTCTCAGAGCTCCTGTCCGAGGAGTTAGCACCCCTCAGAACAATTCCTTACAGAAAGGACCATTACACAATATGATATATAGAATATAGAAATACTTTTTCCTGCTTTCCTCAAAGACATGCATTTCTGACTAGTGCTTAGTAGAAAATAAGGGGATGACCACTCACTATAGATACCTTAGGATCCATTCCCTCATTCCTTCCGAGTCGCACCAGTCAGATTTGGGGACAGGTTCCACACCGAACCGTGAGGTCGGCGCTGACTGGGTTTTCCACTTGAGGGCAGAAGAGCAGCGGCGGTGCGGCAGCTCCGGCCTTCTTAGCACCCAACAAATTCAATGGCTTCGGATGAGTTGGACAAGGATTTTACATTGTGTGTGACCAAACCGTCCGGAACGGTCGAGGCACTGTTATTTTCTTTTGGATCCTTTGGTGAGATTTCAAGGGAATTTGGACCCCTTAGGCCCTAGGTCTTCTGCTTCGTGGGACGGTGTGGTCACACAGACGGTTCACGAAGTTCACGTCCATCCGATGGATAGAAGCTTTGTGACTTCTGGGGAGGGGAGGTTGCATTGTTTGGTGTGTTTTGCTCAGACCGTTCTCTATAAGCAAGGTTGCAAGTCAGGTGCCCGTTCGTTGGTTGATATCCGCCTGATTTGAGACTCACCTGTTATGTCCATGTGCATCAGGATCCAGTCGATCAAGCGAGCAAACACGTTTCGCAGTTCAATGAACTCTAGCCTCGGCCAGGGGCCGTGTTGGTTTTTGCCTCCATGTGGCTGTGGACGCTGCTTGTCTTTATTTGGAGACATTGACCTTTATGTTACAGGCTTTGGAAAGTGCCAAGCACTCGTTTCGCTGAGTGATCTTGCATTGGAAGCTCTTTCTTTCTTTCTTTCTTCGAAGCTTTTCACCAAGGATCCTGCTGATCTTGGAGTTGCTCGGGGTTCTCACCTCAGCACCCGTCTGTTGCGTGGTGGGTCCGGGGGACCGTCGGGACCGCCGTGGCCACCGAGGCGTGCGCCCTATGCTGGGGTGCCGCTGTCTTTGCGGAGCACGAGCTGTCCCTTCGCCACTTAGCAGTTCGAGGTTGGGAGCCTCAGAATCTGGAAGGTCATGTAGACTCATTACCTGGCTCTTGATTAATATATAATCCCTCAGAATTGAACAGCCTCTTCATAGGGGTGGTGAAATTGAATCAAGAATCTACATCTACCGTAGATGCACACCTGCAGATCTCTATTGGTTGCGACCTGATCCGAATGTTTTTTTCGCTTGCGTCCCTTGAATCCCCTATGGGTCCTTCCCTGGAGTCGCTCAAGCGCGGGGGTCGCTCGGACCGAGGCATGGAAACGGCTGAGGACAACAGCCCTTGACGTGTGCTTCGTTTGGAGCTCTTGTGTGGAGCGAACGCGCAAAAAAGATCAAAAACGGTATTCCTATGTGATCCTTTTGGTGTTCTGACTATGAAGAAGGTATGACATGTCTCATCCCTATTTTTGTTGGTTTGAGTTGTGCCCCTCCCACCGAGTGCTGTACTGTGCATCAGCCCTGCGCAGGCCCTTGCAAGGGTTGTGGAGACCAGGCTCGGCGAATGCCGCGGACCCAGCAAGCCGTGAGGCGGCGTAGAGTGGCCGGACGTTTTGGAACATACTTAGTGTTCCATATGGAAAGCATCATGTCATGTATCTGTATCTTGAATTGAGAAATCACCGGCTTAAGTAAAGTTGAGTTGGCCAACGGCTTGGATGAGGCCACAAATGGCCGCGAAGTAGGTCCCATATTTTCCCATTTCCCCAGCAGCTCACCGTCACCTTAAATAGCAGCTGGAGCGCTTTGATTGTGCCCCGGAATGACACCTTTCCCTCATCAGCCCACAAGGGTTCTTATATGTTCTTATGATGTGTACTTACTTCTTAGTTGGACACAGAAAAGCCCTTATATAGATAGTTTTTGTTTTCGAGGTTTGCGTCATGACAAAATCCCAGACAGCAAGCTGGTAGAGATGGTCGCCGTCCTTAAGGCGCTGGTTCTGGGAGTGTTTCAACAGGTGGCGACGCAACTTCCCAAACCTACCATTTGCGTTTCCCAGTTTCCTGATTGCCCCAAACGATCGAAAGGCTCCCTATTCTCCAATCGTCTCAGCGTTTTTCCTTTCTAGAAAGGCATATCCTCGGCATTGCCGCTCTGGCCACATCTCACCCAAAGCGCAGAAGAGCTTCTGCGCCGCTTTAAAAAACCACGTCCGCGGTGAAACTCCACCTCCTTCGGTGCAGTTCCTGCAGGTGAAGGCCATTGAGACATCGATCTCTGCGTGTTTTAAACTCAAGCAAGAATTGGGTAGCTATGCTCTCATGGGTCGCCTGGATGCACTACAAGTCTTCTCTTTTTGCGGTCCACACAGGAGTGCAACCGCGTGGGCTGGTTCAAGGTTTCTTTTTTTCGTGCAAGAGCGCGGGCTGGGAGGAAGAACGGTCGTTTGGAGTTGGTTCCGTTTTGCTGCGACTGCTGCGACGAGGTGGCACCGGATTTGAAAAATTGGACTACTTGCAGTGCTGCAAGTTCGCAGAAGGTGACAGCCGCATTTTGATGCAGAAGCTCACCCGAGATCGCTTGCAGGCGTGGAAGTAAGATGACGTAGGGTGGCACTTCAGTAAAGGATATAGTAAAAGATAGTACAATTTAATGGAATGTTGTAGATATGTTGTCACATGATATAATTAGGTAGTAAGATATCGCCATAGCAGTGTGCACCCCCCTTGCGCAAGTTGTACGTCCGTCGCCTTCACGTCGGTGCAGCTGCCCGATGGCTTCGGACCGGCCTTGGACCACCTGCTTGGGTTAATGTTACCGGGACATACCTCGGATATACCACAGGTGTCCAGGTAACATCAACCCAAGGTGTATCTGAGGACCAGGCCATCAACCCAAGGTTTACAACATCTAAGGTTACCCCAGGTGTAACTTTTTTCCCCAAGCAGTGTGGATACACTAGGGGTTCTTACGGTTAGATTCGAGGTGTCGCGCCGGAGCGTCCGGCCAATTTGTTGCTATTTACAGCACATTCATGGCTCTCGAAATCCTCGAAGTGCATTTCGACTGCGCAGGCTCACAAAATTTGGTGGGCCGCGGCGGGTGCCGCGACTGCGCTCTCGTTGTGGCGCTGCACGCATTTTCGGACATGGTGGTCACTGGAAATCTCGTGATTTGGTGGTCCAAAGTCGACTTTTCGTGGCAGGTGCAAGGGATCGGGGCGGTTTTACTTCGAAGTGCAGATTTCGTGGCAGGTGCAGGACTTTGGACATGGTGGTGATCTTCGACGCGCTCTGATTTTGTGACAGGTGCAGTGAACCGTGACTTTTGACCATGTGGCTCGTTTGCAGATTTCGTGGCAGGTGCAGGACTTGGTGGACCTTGAAGTGCAGATTTCGTGGCACGCGCAGTGAGTGGGTGGAGCGAGTAAGCGAGTGAGCGAGTGAGAGTGCGGGTAGTGAGAGCGAGAGTGAGAGTGAGTGAGAGAGTGAGTGAGAGTGTGAGTGTGAGTGAGAGTGAGAGTGAGAGTGTGAGTGTAGAGTGAGAGAGTGAGAGAGTGAGAGAGTGGGCGAGAGTGGGAGTGAGTGGGTGAGAGTGACAATGAGAGGAGAGTGAGAGAGTGAGAGAGAGTGAGAGTGCCGATTGGAGGTGTTCGGCGATTTTGCATGCCCCCGTTGACCACCAAGAGGTGGTGTGAGAGAGTGAGAGAGTGAGAGTGAGTGAGTGTGAGTGTGAGTGTGAATGTGAAAATGTGAATGTGAGTGAGTATCAATAGTATCAATGTGACTAGCCATCGCTCAGGGTGGAGCTAAGGAGCCAGCTACTAGAGTTCCCCAACCACTTGCTAGTTGTACTGCATGCTTTCGTGAATTTTGTATCCATTCAAGTGCTCAAGTCTGACAAAGATGATGCAGGTCAACACTACTGCCAAAGATTTCCCAAAGGCGCTAGGTCCCGGGAAGGCACCGGAAAGCTGTGACCCAGCTTGATGTGGGTACAGCAAGTGGCACGATTAGGAAACAGAGAAAATCAACCAACTTTTTTTCCACTCTGTTGTTCCTGTTCCGATCGGCGCGGGCCCATTTTGGGGCGGCGCTGCTGTTGCGCGCGGCTGCTTGGGCTGACACGGCGCCTGCGGCCGCTGCTATCGTCTCGCCGAAGACCTTTTTCTTGCCGCTTGGATTCTGCGGGTCGGGTGTTTGAGGAGAGAACCATGACTTTTGCATGACCTTGGTTTTGCCAAAGGGGCTTTCCAAGGCTATAAGATTCACCCTCCAAGCAGGATGCGAGCTGAGCTTCCATTAAGGTCAGGAGTTCCAGGTCCTGACCCAATGTATTGTTTTTGAAGGGGCAGCTTTGCTTTGTTCAAGGGTCAGTTCTTCGGCTTTGGCTTCGTGTTCGTGGACCTTCGTCGTACATCCAGGATTGACAGGCCCCCTGGGTTTGCCCACCAACGTTTCAACATACTTCGACATTCTTCCTTGAAATTTTTGGAGGGCCATGAGGTTTTTTGCTTGCCACCAGGCAAGGGCATTGGGGCACCTGAACAACTCTGGTGAGAGGTTTTGTCAAATTAGGCCTCAACAATCACCCATGTACCTTCCCCCACCCCCATGACACCGAATGAGAAGAGACGCTGCCCTGAAAACCAGGGGCGGTGCTATAGTAACAAATCCCAGGGACGACAACCCAACACACCCTCGCTCTTCCCAGCAACTGGAACCCAACTCCATCCTACAGCATTTCATTGCCCAGCACGACAAAGCAACAATCTTTTTGTTCAGACACGTGTGGGAAGTTGCCACTTGACCCCCCCTTCACTTTCATCCTGGAGGTGCCGGTGCTGCAGCGGAGCAGTTCCAGCCAGGATCCAGGCAGACCCCGGCGTCCGGACTGTCGGGGTACTTTTGCTCTTCGCTCAGGAACAAGACACGCCAGGACTTTCCTGTCCTGACATCCCATGTGAGGTTCCCCAGACACTGATTCTTATGATTCTTTCCCTCGAAAGGTCTGAGTTTTTCAGCTTAGAATTTGACGGTGCACATGGCACCTGGCGTCCTGCAACGGGGACATTTGATTCAAGCTCGGTTTTGCACGAAGCCGCCACCTTGCTCGCGACGTTGTGTCGCCATGGGGTCGGTTGAAGGTTGGGCATCAGCGCCTCGGTTCGGCGAAATTCATCAAGTTTCATACATTCCTGGTGCCTTGCAGACTTGTTTATATGTTTAAAGTCTATTTTTCTTCCTTTCTTTTTGGCAGCCTCGTAGCGTCGGCAAAAGACCTTTTGCACACGCTTTGGAAAGAAAGATCAGGAGGTTTGGGCACACGTGGCTTCTGAGTTCGACTCGCTGAAGACCAAGACCCCACCAGGGCAGTCAGATGGAGCCATCGGCCAGGCGTTTTCACTTGAGAAGGTGGTGAATGCGCTGCAGGTGGGCGAACGGGAGCTGCGCAATGTCGCCTGCAATATCTGCTGGACGGTGCCCTTGTTCGAGTCAATTGATGGGGATACCCTTTCCTTGCAATTGATCGAAAAGTTCGCGAAGGCCAGGTTCTATGCTGATGGTAAGCCTAAAGCGCCCCGTTTGTGGCCCAGCATCGTCATCCCCATTGCTTTGATGCAGAAGGACGACTTGCCTCCCAAGACAACTTGGAAGCGCTACGGTGGCGACATTGCCGTGGCTGCTTTCTGGTACGCCTTTGCCATGGCGAAGAAGGATGGCCTACCAGGGCCAGACCTGGAAGCTTTCCGTTCCCTGGCCAGGACTAGCGGAGCGCTGTGCCGGAGAAGTTGTTTTGACAATTGTTTTCTGCAGGCCTGTGTTCTGTCTTCTGTACTCCTGTCTCCAGTTTTTCTCCCATCAGTTTCCAATCAGTAACCCTTTCAGCTGCCCTGTGTGTAGGAATGTGCCGTTCACTTTCAAGTACTTTGCGACGGAGGGTGAGCGCTTCGCTTGTGCAACAGCATTGTGCGAAAACGTTGAGGAGTTGCGGGAGTACTTTGGCCTTGACTGCGCAAGACTCGTGCAGGTTGTGCTGAATGCAAAGAAGCAGGTCGAGGAAGAGAAGCGGAATGTGACCGACAAGGTGACCAAAGAGCGCATCAGTGCATGGCTGCGAGAGAAGATCCGTTGGGCTGACCCGAAGCGTTGCCCGAAGCCGGATACGTGCGGGCAGCTTTTGCAGATAGGCGAGTGGCTTTCCCGTTCCCATCGGGCGAGGAGTGCAATGCAACTTGCCCGTGTTGTCTGCGGCAGGACTACGTGCTTCGATGAGTACAGCAAAGTCTTGTTGATGACGCAGAGGAGCATGAACACGGAGGACTTTGATTTCGCTGTAGAGTTTCTGACCATGAAGCTCTTTCGTTCCCAGGCGCCCGAAAACCCTTCTCTCTCGGAACTTCACAGTAAAGCTGGTGAGTTGTCCTTTGGCTTGTTCGCCCGCAAGTATGCCACAGAATTGTGGGCTTCTTGCTCAGGCGCCTGTTCTACAAACGTGCCGCCTCAGATCCTCAAGCGGGCAAAGGGTGTCCTGATGTCTCCGCTGACCTTCCATGATGAGTTTCCTTTGCAGGCTGTGAAGGATTTGTCCTGGGTGGCAGCCTTGCCAAAACCTTTGAGCATGGCAGTCAACCACATGAAGCAAGTCTTGTCGGGCGAGTACAACTCTGACATCAAAGGCCTGCTCTCAAGCCCACCAGCGGGCGGGGCCACGGCTGACCACGCCAAGGGCTTGGAGAATGTGAAGAAGCAGTTCTGGGTGCCCTTTGACCTCGCCCTCAAGGAGCTCGAGGCAGAACGTGCGGATACCCAGGCAACAGACCACCAGGTCTCAGAGGAAGCGGGTGGGGAAAGTGTGCAGGCGGACTGCAAAGACACCCTTGCGAAGTTCAAAGCCGACAGTGATGTTCGTGCAAAGGAGTTCTTGTCCCAGCATTTGGTGACGGTAGTGCAAAGCGCACCAGCCGCTGCCGCTTTGACGGAGTTGCTGAGGAATTCATTGGTGGATTCCACTGAGAGGCGCATGGGTTTTTTTGATCCCAAGAATTGCTCCGTGCCCAAGATTTATGCGACGCAGAGCAAGTGGCAGCGGGTTCCTCTCATTGACGAGGAAGAATTCCAGCAGTTTTGTAAGGCTATTGATGGGTTGCTGCTCAACTTAATTGGCCTGGGGTGGGGGCCACAAGAAACCTGCTGCCTGAAATTGTCCAGCTTCTATTCTTTGTTGTTCCCAGCAGTTTCCAAAAGACTAGGGTGCGTAGGGTTTAAGTTGATTCAGAAGATAAAAGGCGGACTGCGCAAAGCGGCCTTGCATTGTGCCAGGTTGACTCCAGGACGCGACGTCGTGTGTGTGATGGGGGGCAAGGTTCGCTCCAACGAGGACACCATCAATAAAGTCACCCGGGCCCTGAAGTGGTCCAAGAAAGAGTCCATGTTGAACTACGATGCGAAGATGACGCAGGAAATGGGTTACTTCACGAGGATGCGCGGTCTCGGGAACGCTGGCGCCGCTGAGAAGCTTTTTCTCTTCTTCAAGGGTCAGGCGCCTTCAGAGAAATTGAAGCGTAAAGCGTTCAGAGTCTGCAGACAGAGGCCTTTGCGCAAGATCTTTGCAACTAGGATCCTAGGAACGTGTTTTGTTGGACAGCTTGCGCTTTTTTGAAATTCTGCCTCCTGTCCCTTTCCACAGGCGCCGAGGGACTTCAAGAAGGCGAGGCTCTTTGTGGATGCGGGATCCCGAACATACATAGACAGCATCTTGAAGGTGCCTATCGCGACAGCGCGTGAGCTTGCCTTGGTTTCCAGAACTTGCTGGGAGGCTTTCTCGAAGAACGAGAAGAGCGAGTGTGTGGTGGAGGCCTTTGATGTTGAGGCGGAGTCAGGCAGTGACGATGAGCACGGTGAGCCAGCAGACACGACGGTCAAGAAGAGGAAGTACCCCAAGCGAGGTACCGCCTTGACCCGGCAGCCATCCTCAGATGAGGTGCTCCTCTTTGCGCATGACAACAGTGCCCTTCTGATGAAGGAATTGGCGCACGAATGCGGCGCCCGCTGGTGTATCCATGCTTCCCCGGCGCTTGGGTCTGGAATCTACGGTTTTTTTGATTCTTAGCTTGGACAGGGCGGAAAACTGTTTAGGTTTTTGGGGCGCCAGCTGCAGGGTTTAAATTCCACCTCGCCTGAAAATTAATGCTGCCATTTGTTTAGACACACCTTGCGCGGTTAACAGTCAGGAACTGGGGTTGCCAACGATTGCCATTGTGAAGACGGAGCTCCACAAGACTGAGTTGGAGAAGGCCCTCCGATCCCGGCTGGCCCAAGACTTGCCCATCAGCGGTTCGGCGTTGGGCAACGCAGAGCTGGCACGGCGAGCCTTGGCTTTGGGTTTGACAAAACCCGCTCCTCTGCGAAAGCGCAAGGGCCAAGAGGCTGACCTTGCTGATGGTGCGTCCTCTGAGCCGGAGCCGCCCCAGTATGAGACACCGCCAAAGAGCAAGAAGACCGACAAGGAGAATAAGGACAAAACCGAGAAGAAAAAGGATTCCAAGAAGCACAAGAAAGACAAGAAAGAGAAGGACAAGAAGTGATTGAATCCTGAGAGATGTTTGTACGCATCCTTTTTTCCGACAATTTGCCACAATAAGACGCGATTTTCATGCGCCGGAACCACTCGCAAGTGGTGCCGCAAGACATCCTTTGTCGCAACATCAGCTTCAAAAAAAAGATTTCCAAAGCTTTGGGAGCTTTCTGTGGGGGAGGTGGTGGGCGTGACACGGGCCACGACCCCTCAAGGGCGTAGGAGACCTGCCGCCACTTTTCCTTCGAGTCACCGCCGGCCTGGTCCCGTCGCTTCGTGCGTAGAGCCGGTCAAAACCTGGAAGGCGGTGCTTGCCTGGCGCCGGCGGCGCTGCTGTGGCGTGGGGCAGCTTGGCCTGGCACTGCGCCGGCGGCCGCTTTGTCTCACCAAAGACCTTCGCTTGGCCACTTGGATTCAGTGGGTCGGGTGTTTGAGGGGGGTGCCATCACTTTGGCACGACCTGGTCGGATAGCTCTAACTTTCTCAATGGTTTATAATGAAATCACATCAAAACTACTGCCCAAGGGACGTGGGTTTCGATCAGGGTCAGGAGTTGCAGGTCCTGACCTTACTGTCGTTGACAGGTCAGTTTTTCTGTTGTTTGAG